GCAGCTCTCCCACTTCTTAATCTTCTGAAGTCATTCACGGAGTGATCGGACCGCATGAGCTGACTCAATGTGAGCTGACTTGACTGCACATCCAGGTGTCCAACGGGACGTGTCCAACTGCCACGCGACACTAGTCGTGCACCAGTGTTCCCATCAAGCCGCCGCACCACATCGCGCCACACGTTTCGCGATCCTTTGGCGCGTTTTGGTGTCGGCGCAACGCTTGGAGGTTTGGGCACACGAACATACAGGCAAACAGCATGTTTGAGGTTGTGTTCTCATCCGTTGTCTGCACACTTGATCATGACACCTGAACACTTTCCACGGTAAGGTTACATAACCGACCACAAATCGCGTACATTTTCAATTAGTCGCATGATCTTATCAATATGTAAGCAATCCAATAATCAGGCTTCATGAGACTACAGATCCAAACCAACTAGTGCTAAATGCATCGCCTAACGTACGAGTCATTACCACAGCCATTGTCTGCACCTAAAATCCAAGCCAGCTAATGTGTAGCTGAATACCCCGCACCACAAATTGGAAAAGATTGGTGATTTTTGGCGCAGGTAACTCATTGTAAAAGGCCTATGACAAGTATTACTAGCATGCAGTGCAAGGTGTTGCGTCTGGCGGATGAATTATTATCCACTGAAGATGGTCTGCACCTGCTTTCAGCATTCATATGACTTAAATAGATTGCGCCACACTGGAGGTAAACAGCAATGACACAGCGACGACAACATGTCAAAAGGCCACCCAGTCTGTTGGAACTCCACTCAATTGAATTGGTGTATTAAAATTGACAACAATATCCAATGTCGCAGAAAATAAGTAAAAAGGGGCTAGGAGTGTTTCCTTGCCATTTTAATATATTGGCCTTCAAGTTATCGGGGATTGTGCAAAACGACATATGATATGTCTTAACAGTGGCTATCATTAAGAAAATTTCCACCCTAAGCTTCCAGTCATAAGAATCTGCCAATTGCCGCTATTTGCAGTCGGGGAATATCCCTCACAGTAGCGTCCCAAGTGCCAGTAGCGTGTCTCGGTACCAGAGAGCAACCCTCACCCATTTTAGCCTCCTGTGGCTCTTGGGCAACTTCAGTCATGTTCGCCAAACCACACTAAAACAACTAGAGACATCTTAACAGCGTTGAAAAGAATAGAAGGCAATATTATAGGATAGGAAGGTATAGATAGGAAGGTTAGCTCCGGAGTAGCGGTCGTTGACGGCATAGTCGTAAGCGAACGGCTTAGCCTCTTCCTTGTACTGGGGCTCCGGGTGGTAAGAAGCGGTCTTGTAAGACGGGGCAGGGTGGTAGGGGGCGGGCTTGTAGGAGGGGGCCGGGTGGTAGGGAGCGGGCTTGTAGGACGGAGGAGGGTGGTAGGGAGCCGGGGTCGGCTTGTAGGCCGGGGCCGGGTGGTAGGGGGCTGGCTTGTGGGTCAGAGCCGCGTGATGGGACGTCATGTACTCCGGGGTGGCCGCGGCAGCAGCCAAAACGGCGGCAATAATGAACACCTGTAATGCCATGAAGGTGATGTTACGGATATGTGATAGTTAGCTCAAGTCATTTCTCGACGGCCTTATTACATTTGATTCGATGTCACTATCGCATTAGGCTCTATTACATTCGACACATGTACTGACCACATCTGTCATTCCATTCGCAGTTCACACCACAGAGCACTGGAAACACATGTAAAAATACCGTGGATTGTAAAACGCTGCCTTTCTTAAAATTAACACAAATCCGTAGTCAATCGCCAAGAGCTAGGTTTTTGTGGTGTTGGCAGTTTTGGTGACATTTATTTCGGTGGCTATTTGGGTTGGAGATACGCCGTTTTATGTGAGTATTCCAGGGCATGCACCGCAACTGCCGTGCAGTAACGTCTTTCAGGATAGCTCATGTATACCTCGGCCGTTTTTCCATGACTCTGATGTTGGGAATCTTGGGCATACTTAGTTTGGAGGGAAAATGCACGGTGTTTTCCGGGAAAGGACACTACAAACGCACATTTTTAAGAGTAGCCTGATGAAAGAGATTCAATATACACAAACGAGTATCTTAATGACTGCTGGCTGTCTGACGGAACGGCTACGTCAAACACATTGGCCCAATGCCTGTGGCAAATGACCCCGCAGTAGCCACCAGCGCACTTGTCCAGCTGTGTGCTTGGTAAAACGTACCTTCATGCTGTATGGTTTAGTGACCGGGTACGCCGTGCAACTGGTGCAGACTCCCACAGTGTCTTCCCTTTTATAGGTGGGCCAAGACCAGATCTTGGCCTGAGGTCACGACCCGCTGCGCCCAGTCATTGGCTGACCCACACTGTTCTCCTGGTCGGACCGATGAACAAGCGCAGGACCCATGGCCACTCCCATGGGCGCGCCCACTGTCACCGGCTTGAACCCATGGCCGGAAGCTTAGAGCCAGCTCATAGCCCGGGCAGCCGCTCGAAGGAGTGGGGAAGGTTGGTAACAGCTTGCCTACAGCCGCTTGAAACGCGTGTTTTAATCGACCGCATCAAAGTTATGATAATTTGTTGCGGCCGCTCAGAGATATTTTCCGAAGCATGCGCGCTCTGCATGTCATAAACATTGCGTGTCTGGACAGATATTATTGAATTCATTATGTTGCAGACTACAGCTTTTATGATTGGTGCTTTCGCGCCCCATGCATTTTATCGGGTGCAGGGTACTGCAGATTTAGACTGAAATCATAGGTTTGAGTTTTTGACACATCATCGTCAGTAAAAGTATCACCATGGATTTTCAAGATCGATCTAGCAGATTTTCTAATCACACTCTAAACTGGAGGGCTCACCTGTGGTATATTCTGCAAGAACCTGTATTATTTACAGAAAAGATTATAGCACGAGTGTTGGCTTCAAAGGATTACGTCTCGGAAAAGCTTTCTTTTCCTGGAACGAGCAAAACATGACATTAAAACTGATACTTTATGCCAAAGCACTCCAGTACGTCTGAAATATTCCACTTTTATGTTTTCTCTTCAGGAGGGGGGCAGTCTTGCAAAATAAATTAGACACTAAGTGGAGGAATACGGGCTGAACCTACACCACACCCAATCCCTACATCCGAACAACATGTGTTTCTCTCCGGCAAAAAACGTGTTGTCCCGGACCAAAACCGTATTCTTCGCGTTGAAGAAGACCTTAGCTCAGGATTTAGGCAACTTTTCAGAATTGATATCATCCTGTCACCCTCTCCGAACCAAACAAGAAAGAACACCGCTGATGTCCGACCATAATGCTGGGAACTAAAACAGTCATCACAGATTATCACCACAACTTTTCTGCCTCACATAGAGCTCACGTGAATCTGAAAACATTCGGCATAAGTCTTTAGCATATATGGATACTTCGAGGAAAATATGAAACAACAGCGAAAAGGAGAATATATGCGATAAGCCCCATTTCTTTTACTTTTTATATTCATTTGTGGGCAGGGTTAATCCTCTCAACAAGGAAACAGAACTAAACGTGAGAGACAAGATCTTTACATCCATATGTCAGCAGGTTGTTGCTTGAGTCACGACACGTGCACGAGAGGCCTGGCTCTCATACAGCTGCGGTGTGAATGCTACACAACTTACAGCTGTATCCGTGTCGCACAGTTGGTCGTAAGAGGCAACCGGCGCCCCCTTCGTTGAATTGAGCCAGGAGCGGATTACACGAACTGAACTTCTGATTTCACCCGCAGGATGGCGGCAGTATCGACTGAGTCTTATCACCCAGCTGCCTGTGTGAATCATGGCTCATGGGTCGTTGAAATAGAAAAACGGCATAGCATTATTGTAATTTATTGCGCCAGAGCGCCTTGTACCCACCCAATCCTTTTGCAACGGACAATAATATGTGAGATCACTCTATACCTACTTACATCTCGTAGCTATCGTGTTTATTCGAGAAAGCAGTTTGCCATTCGCCAACGTTTGTAGATAATGCACGCTTGACGCAAAAGCAATGATTGAGTTGTTTCCAATGTGCAGCCAAATTGGTTCTTCAGTCAGCACATGTACATATTTGCAAAGAAACATCCGAGCGGTGATACCATAGCGACACCATCTACATCGCAGCAGAGTTTTCCGCTTGGACAGCGGAAGCGTGCCTTTGCCGTGTAGAATCGGAGCATCCGTTCCGAGAATGGGTGGTGACGGTTTCAATGGTGACAAGGTTTGGTGTTTATAGACGCAGTCGAGTGTAATTTGGATTGTTTCATCAACAGTCGCGTTTGGGAAATGACTGTCTACGCCCAATGATGCAAGTAGACCGGTGGGATTGTAAAACTTGATTTTGCCAATTAATTGTCCTGTGGGTTGCAAGCTATACTCTGCTGGTGTGTAGTGTTCAATCATGCTATTTAAAGTTTTTGCCAGCTGATAGGTAGCTGTTGGGATTTTAGATATATGTGGTCCCAGGGTTGCCCATTTCATGGCTTTATCTTCAGCTTTATATATATATATATATATATATATATACATATGTGTGTGATGGGTTACAACGTGCCATTACGGGATGGGTGGTCAAGTACGGATCCTTTGTCCATTGGAGTGATGTGGGGAAGCTCTCACCCGTCAGGCAGCCACAATTCAGAAGTGTTTGACCAGCCGCGCACTAACAACCACCCTTCAGGTAACTTCAGTGTGGCGATTTTGCTGGCCGGCACCCACATTTCGCAGGGAAAATGGGCGTTGTGATGCATCGTTTTGATTTGGTACCAATTGTATAGCTAGTGTATAGTTTTGTATACTAATAAAAATTGTATAGTATTGTATAACATTTTCGTATTGTGACGACATTGACCGGATAACACGCCATCATGTCACATGGAGGTTCACTGCCTAATATTAATTACCAATATTGTTGTCGTCAAGAGCTTCGTTGAATGGAAATGTCCCTTTTCAGTTGGTCAGATAACATCGCCCCCTGGAAGAGGTATGAGTGTTTTTAAGAAACGCATGACTCGAGTGCTTCGCTGTATTGCAACAGAGCAGGTCAGGTCACGAAAAGCTTGATAACAACACATTTACACGTTTAAATAGGCAAACGTTCTCATCGGGTGACTAATACGCCGCAGCCTTGTATGCCGGGGCGGGATGGCTGTAAGTAGGCTTGTGGGCAGGCTTGTAAGCCGGAGTGGTAGCCTTGTAGGCAGGGGCGGGGTGGTACTCGGGGTACTGGGCCTCTCCCTCGTAGGTGACCTCAGCGTTGTAGCCGCCGTAGTGGTCAGCGACGTACTTGACGTGCTGAACACGGCCGTCGGGCAGAGCCACCGAGTAATATCCCTGGGTGTTGTGGCCATCGCTCTCCTCCTTCTTGGCGAAGTTGGTGCCGGTGTACTGGTCGTTGACGGCGTAGTCGTAGGCGAACGGCTTGGGCTCCTCCTTATACTGGGGCTCCGGATGGTAAGAGGCCGGCTTGTAGGAGGGGGCCGGCTTGTAGGAGGGGGCCGGCTTGTAGGAGGGGGCCGGGTGGTAGGGGGCCGGCGTGGGCTTGTACACCGGCGTCTCCGGAGCCGGGGCGGCGGCGGCGACAGCCAACACGGCGGCAACGACGAAGATCTGAAATGCCACAACAGTTGTGTTGTTAATAAGCGAGTCGTTTTGACATTTTTCCTGTTTCACAATGCAGTTTACAACCACGCTTCTGATACAACGTATCTCAACAGGGTTCCGACCACGGCATGTCTTCCAGAGTGATCTCTGACAGTTGAAAAACACTACCTCAAGCACCTCCTTCAAGCGACTACCTGCATGCTGTGTTTTTGTGGTCGAGTGCGCAGTGAAACTGGTGCCTGCTTCCACAGTGCTTTCGTTTTTATAGGCCGTCCGCGAGCCGCCGATGGAAGGCCAAGGACAGGAGCCCACTGAACGGGAGGCTCCCGCTACCACAGGCTAGGCTGATGAATTAGCATGGAGACTTGGCCGATTCCCGGGACACGCCCAACTTGTGGCAAGCGATTTTGGCGCCCTTTAAATTCGGTCTTTCCTTACCCATGACTTTAGATGTCGGTGTTCCATTGAAAACGTACAGGCACATATTCAGTTTGATGATGAAGAGAATGTAATTGATGACGAGCGCGCTATTATACATTCAGGTGCCATGTCATGCGTTAATGTGCCAAAGTTGATTTTGTTGGTTATATATACTTCTACACACACGTATGCATATATACATATATTTCTATATGTAGATATATATATATATATATATATATATATATACATATATATGTATATGTTGATATTTTGTGACACTTTTGGCTTTTGCATGTTGTCTCTAGTTTTCCAGCAGTTTGGGTAGCCGTTTTGTGAAGCATTCTTAATGTTGAAGTACCAAGGAACTTTTTGCGTTCTACCAAAAACTGCCTTGAAAAACTTCTGATGTAAAACTTTCGATTTCATACGGAATGTTTTTGCATCAATTGAGCCATATAACATAAACACTTTATATATAAGCACTATAAACGGCAAATGCATACATTTCCGGATGCTCATATTAACAAATTTCACGCACCAATTTTTAGCAAATACCTCACGTTAATTCCAGGGATTGTGACATACCAGCCTAAATGTAACAGAACCTAAAAGAAAGAAAATCTGTTCTGTCGGGTTCCGTAATGCCAAAAACAAAGGCAACCCATTTCGCAAGTCTCAGCCCATGGTCCATCTTTAGAATATCCACACAACACCATGAGAGCCATGCAACGTCAATACTCGCAGCACTAACTCCCTATGTCTCATGCGCACCATGGCCATGGCATTTAATATGTTGTCTGTTCTGCGCCAGATTATACACCAAACTCCTAAATCATTGAACTACTGCTGCCAGGTCATCGCCAGTTGGACAAATGTGTCGTAGCTGACCGTTGCCGCCATATTTTGCATACTGTATAACCGACGTTGCGTATTGTATGTTCATTGCCATGTATTGGCACTTATCATCGGAACGTTTATATTTCTAGCGCAAGTTTCTCTTATCTTGTTTACGTTTTACCCTATCGGCTAGGTCGTAACACTGTTTTTGCCCTACAACGCTTCCGGTACAGTATGCCAGCAATCCGCCCCATGTCGTGACGGACTCAACCTCAATGATGCAACTGTCGGGAACAGGGAATAACCGATACACTTCTGAGCGTAACAAATAGGTGCGTTTGCTCCTTACCAGCTGCTGAGAAGCATCACATGCAAATGCATACAGCGCTTCAAAGTACGGCGCCGGCATACGTGCCGCCTCGTCTTTCTTTAAGACTCCAAATGTATGAAGTCTTGGTGTCCATAGGGCGTCACTCGTAACCATGCTCCCATATCCCACTGATATGGTGATCTATTACGTGTGCTGGTATGAATACGTCAGCCATTTTTTAGATGTTTGGGTGCGCTAAACGTTTTCTGCACGACCAATTGCATTTTGGCCAGCGTCGTTAATAGTTTTATTGACTGTTTCCACATATATTCCGTTCTTTTCAACGCCATTAAGATGTCGATAGTTGTGTTAGTGTGGTTTGGTGAACACGGCTGAAGTCGCCCACAGAGGCACAGGAGACTAAAATAGGTGAGTTTTGCTCTCTGGTACCGAGACACATTACTGACACTTGGGAGGCTACTGCGAGGGATATTTCTCCGACTGTAAATATACCCAATTTGCAGATTCTTGTTGCTGGAAGCTTAGGGCGGCAATGTTCTTAATGGTAGCCACCGTTAAAACATATCACACGTTGTCTTATAGAATCCCTGATAACTTGAATGCAAGATGCGTTAAACGGCAGGGTCAACACTCCCGGCTCCTTTCTGCTTGTTTTCTGCGGCACTGAATATTGTCATTAATGTTTAAGATACCTGCTAGGAGAACTCACTGAACACACACTTCCAGCCCTTTATTTCCCTGGCCAGCCCTCACTCTCCACGGGAGGGACATCTGAACGTTCGGGTGAGCCGCTCGCGCGCTACCACAAAATGTCCGACCGCCGCCGGCCACCTGCTACTGTGCAAAATGTCTGACCGCCACCGGCCACCTGCTACTGTGCAAAATGTCCGACCGCCGCCGGCCTCCTAAAACACTGCTTGACATAAAAGAAAATCTACTACTAAATACAAAAATCCCAAACATATTCCCCGCCTTTGGATTGAAACGGCTTTCCTAAACAAACAAGGCACTGCACCACACCAAACTTGGCCTGGCGGAGAATGAGGGGCGAGTGATGAACGGCTTCACTGATCGTCACACAGTTCTATGTCGCACAGCCGCTGGACTGCCCGGGTCCTCAGCTGGCCAGCTTTAGTTCGGACCTGCTGACTTGGTGACATCGTCCCTCCTTGGGTACAGCTTGGTAACTACCCCAATCACCCACTTCATCCTAGGGACTTGGTGCTCACTGATCAGGACCGCTGACCCCAGCCTCATCTTACCGTGGGACCTAAACGCGCGGACCGACGGAGGTAGGGTCCGCAGATACTCATTCCTCCACACTGGCCAGAATCGGTTCAACCGTCTGTCGCGCACACGGGCTCTGTCGGACAGCATCTTACTGGACTGCTCACGGACTCTTACATCATACTCACAGACTCTGCATCCTCCAGCACCCTGACTTGGAAGCCGGCACCAACACTCTGCGCCCCATCACCAAGCAGTTTTAGGCAGCGCACAGCACTGTGACGTCCTCCACACTCAGCACACACCTTGTCACACCCGCGAGCCACATGTCCACTTCTCAGGCACCGAAAACACAGCCCAGCCTGCCTGACAGCATCTCTGCGTTCTGGTACTGGCAGGGGCTTTAGCTTCAGACACACCTCAGGTTGGTGTGTCTGCCCACAAAAGCCACACCCTGCTCTGGCTCCTGACTGCAGAGCTGCTGCTGCTGGTGTCCTCCTCTGCCCCTTTCTCTTCTTCCCTTGTTGAGGGCCGCTTGTGGCCTTGTGTCGCTCTTCATCAGCTGGGGCAGCCAGCTGCTGACCTGGAGCCCCCTGTACCTGAATAGAGTCATGGGCACTGGAACGCTCCCTGCGCTCCATCTCAGCCGCCAGTAAGCTCATCACCCACGCCAGGTCCGCTTCCTTGCCTGTGACCTCACGAACACACTCCAGCTTGATGTCAGGGGATAGCATAGACAGGATAAGAGGGACAAGGATTACACTATACCTGGCACCTCCCACACCAAGTGACTCCAGGCTGCGGATGTGGGTTAGGAGGCAGTCCTGCAGTTCTCTCAGGGACTGATGGCTACTGGATCTGGCTTCTAGAAGTGGAAGAAGCTGTTGGATGTGGGAAAAGGTTATCACTTCCTTCCTCTCAAACCTGTTCTTGAGGAGGTCACATGCACTGACATAGTTGGCACCAGTCAGGGAAAGACCCGCCACACAGTCCTGGGCCTCCTTCTCCAGCACCGACCGAAGATAAGCAAACTTGGTCACATCAGGCAGCTCCGAATTATTGAAGGACACCTCAGAGCTCGCCCAAAAGGACTGGCACTTGAGGACATCCCCACTGTATCTCGGGAGCTCCAACTTTGGAGGCCTCTGCCCCTCCCGGCTCAGTGAGCTCGCTGAGCCAGCCCTACTGTCCCGCTCCAGGGCTCCACCAACCTTATCCAAAACCGACATCACCCCATCTCCCAGGTCGGCTGCACCCTCAATATAATTAGGTATCTCTTCCTCTGTCTCGAAGCACAGCTCCACCTCAGACTGGGCCTCATCCAGGAAGTGGAGCCTCTTCTCGCAGCCAAGTTTAGCGGCCTGAAGTGCATCTTGATCTGGTTGTTTATGTTCCAGAATTCCCTCAAGCTTCCTCACTTACCTGGTCAGCCAACCTCTAGCTGCTGTTTGCTTCTTGAAAGCATCCGGGCTTACACTCATCTTGACACTCAGAACAACTCAGCAAAATAACAGATGCTTAAACTTCAGTTCACTACTTCCCGGGTTTGGGCATCAAAAAATGTTAGGAAAACTCACTGAACACGCACTTTCAGCCCTTTATTTCCCTGGCCACTCCTCACTCCTCTCGGGAGGGACATCTGAACGTTCGGGTGAGCCGCTCACGCGCTGCTACAAAATGTCCGACCGCCGCCGGCCACCTCCTACTGTGCAAACTGTATGACTGTCGCTGGCCTCGTAAAGCACTGCTTGACATAACGAATCTACTATTAAATAAAAAATCCCCAACAACACCAATTTAATTGATTGGAATTCTAACAGACTCGGTGACGTTTCGAAATGTTTTGATCACAGCGTCATTGCTGTTTACCTCCAGTGTCGCGTAATCGATTTAATAAAGATGAATAGTGAAAGCAGGTGCAAACCAGCTTCGATGGGTCATGATTCATCCGCTATACGCAACACCTTGCACTGCATGCTAGCAATACTTGTCACAAGCCCTTTACATTGAGTTGCCTGCGCCAAAAGACACCACACTTTTCCAATTTGGGGTGCGGGCTATTCAGCCATATATTGGCAGGCTCGGGGTTTTAGGTGCAGACAATGGCTGTGGTATTGACTTGGCGTTAGGCGATGCATTTAGCACTAGTTCCTTTGAGGCTGTGGTCTCATGACGCCTTACTAATTGATTGCTGCTTCAACGTTGATACGGTCATGCGAGTATTTGAAAATGTACGCGAGTGGTGGTCGGTTATGTAACCTAACCGTGACAAGTGTTCAGGTGTCAGGATCAAGTGTGCAGACAAAGGGTGAGAAAACAGCCTGAAACATATTGTTTGCCTGTATGTTCGTGTGCCCAAACCTCCAAGCGTTCCTCCGACATCAAAACGCGCCAAAGGATTGCGAAACGAGTGGCGCCATGTGGTGCGGCGGCTTGACGGAAACACTCTGGTGCCGGTCTGAAATTGACCGGTAGCGCGTGGCAGTCGGACACGCCCCGTTGATCACCTGGATGTGCAGTCAAGTCAGCTCGCAGTGAGTCAGCTCATGCGGTCCGATCATTCTCTAAATTATCTCTGAAGAGGAAGAAGTGGGAGAGCTGCGAATCGCCGCCTATGAAATAAACAACTTTGTGTGCGAAAAATAAAAACTCAACAAAAACCCTCAGAAATAAAGGAGTTGCACTTGGCACGCTACAAGTCATTAAGATATGCAAGGATCCGAAGGATATTCCCTGCAGAATATGCCGACCTGACCGCCTGGCAGCACTGGAGCTGTGAAGGACCTACTTGGAACGATCTGGGCCATTCCAGACACGAGGAGAAGGAGCTTCCTTTCCCAGCGGCTTGCCAGAGAAGTTAAACAAAATAGTGCATTGATAACCACCATCTAAGGAGTTTCGGTGCATTTATTTTTCAACACATCACCTCTACTGATCACCGAGAATATTCGTTTGAAAATAATAACTTCAATACGTCTTAATCGTGCCGAAAACTTCCGGCTGTATTTGTGGCGGAGGTACTGCGCACAAAACCTGTTATAAACCACCTCGTGGCTAAATAACATACTACTGACATTATTTTCGGTTGGTTGTTGCTTGGCTGTTGTTGCAGCTGCATCACTGAAATTAGCTCACTGGACAACGCAAGATGGCTTGCGTAAAAACACGCGTGGCTTGAGTGTTTCGTTTATTGAAACACAGCGGGTCAGGTCACAAAAAAGTTTCACAACATCAGCATTTGTGCGTTTAAATAGAAAACATTCTTTGGCATTTGACTAGTACGCCGCCGCCTTGTAGGCCGGAGCGGGATGGCTGTAGGCGGGCTTGTAGGCCGGAGCGGCAGCCTTGTAGGCAGGGGCAGCAGCCTTGTAGGCAGGGGCGGGGTGGTAGTCAGGGTAGGTGGCCTCTCCCTCGTAGGTGACCTCAGCGTTGTAGCCGCCGTAGTGGTCAGCGACGTACTTGACGTGCTGGACACGGCCGTCGGGCAGAGCCACCGAGTAATATCCCTGGGTGTTGTGGCCATCGCTCTCTTCCTTCTTGGCGAAGCTAGCTCCGGAGTAGTGGTCGTTGACAGCATAGTCGTAAGCGAAAGGCTTGGCTTCCTCCTTGTACTGGGTGGTAAGAAGCGGGCTTGTAAGACGGAGCAGGGTGGTAGGGGGCGGGCTTGTAAGACGGGGCCGGGTGGTGGGGCGCCGGCTTGTAGGACGGGGCAGGGTGGTAGGGGGCGGGCTTGTAGGACGGAGCAGGATGGTAGGGAGCCGGGATCGGCTTGTAGGCCGGGGCCGGGTGGTAGGGCGCGGACTTGTAGGACGGAGCAGGATGGTAGGGAGCCGGGGTCGGCTTGTACGCCGGGGCCGTGTGGTAGGGGGCTGGCTTGTAGGTCGGTGCCACGTGATGAGACGTCTTGTGCTCCGGGGCGGCCGCGGCAGCAGCCAAAACGACGGCAATAATGAACACCTGTAATGCCATAACGATTATGTTACGGATATGCGATAGTAATCTTAAACAATTTCTCAACGTCTTTACTACATTCGATTCGATATCGTTACTACATTAGGCTTTATTACAGTCGACACATGTAATGACCACATCTGTCATTCAATTCGCAGCTCACACCACAGAGCACTGAAAACACATGTAAAAATACCGTGGTTTGTAAAACGCTGCCTTTCTCAAAGCCAACACAAATCCGTACGCATTCGCCAAAAGCTAGGTTTTTCTGGTGTTGGCAGTTTTGGTGACATTCATTTCGGTGCCCATTTGGGTTCGAGATACGTCGTTGTAAATGACGATTCCAGAGCCTGCACGGCAACTGCGGTGCAGTAATGTCATTTAGGGTTACCTCAGGTATACTTGGGCCATTTTCAATGACTGTGATGTAGGGACGCTTGGCCATACTTAGTTTGGAGGGAAAATGCACGGTGCTTGCCGGGAAAGGACACAACAAACGTCCATTTTCAACATCAGCCTCATGGAAGAGACTCAATATGCACCAAAGACTATCCACACAACTGCTAGCTTTATGATTCCATGACCACGTTAAACACATTGGCCCAATGCCGGTGGCAAATGGCTCCGTAGCAGCCACCAGCGCACTTGTCCAGCTGTATGCTTGGTGACACCTACCTTCATGCTGTGTTGTTTAGTGGCCGGGTACGCCGTGCAACTGGTACAGATTCCCACAGTGTCTTTGCTTTTATAGGTCGGCCAAGACCAGATCTTGGCCTGAGGTCACGGCCCGTTGCGCCCAGTCATTGGCTGACCCACACTGTTCTCCTGGTCGGACCGATGAATAAGCGCAGGACCCATGGCCACGCCCTTGGGCGCGCCCACTGCCACCGGCTTGAACCCGTGGCCGGAAGCTTAGAGCCAGCTCATAGCCTAGGCAGCTGCTCGCAAAAATGGGATGTTGATAACAGACTGGCGACAGCGGTGGGAAACTGGGTTTTTTAATAAATCGCGGCAATTCTTAGCTTAATGTATCCGCTATAATACATTTACCAAGACCGAGCGTCGTAGCCATCAGCGCCACTACACGGATGGACTTATCGTAGGGGATCGCTGTGCTCCAAGCGACAGCTTGTTTGAACGCCGCTTTCATGTAATATTCAGTTTATCTGGTGAACGATTCTGTCACAGTAGTTTCGATCAGGGGTTTGGTTGTTCGGAGGGACGTTGATAGTACATTTTCTGCCACCGGCTTGAACCCATGGCTGGAAGCTTAGGGTCAGCTCATAGCCCAGGCAACTGCTCGCAGAAGTGGGGAAGGTTAGTAACAGCTTGCCCACAGCCGCTTGAAACTCGTGTTTTAATCGACTGCATCAAAGTTATGATAATTTGTTGTGGCCGCTCATAGATATTTTCCGAAGCATGCGCGCTCTGCATGTCATAAACACTGCGTGTCTGGATATATATTATTAAGTTCATTATGCTGCAGACTACAGGTTTTATGTCTGGTGCTTTCGCGCCCCATGCACTTCATCGAGTGCAGGGTACTGCAGTTTTATATTGAAATTATAGGTTTGGGTTTTTGACACATTATCGTCAGTAAAAGTAACACCGTCAATTTGCAAGATCGATCTAGCAGATTTTCTAATCACACTCTAAACAGGATGGCTCACCTGAGATATATTCTGCAAACACCTGTGTTATTTGCGGAAAAGATTATGGCACGATTGTGGGCTTGAAAGGATTACGTCTCGGAAACATTTTTTTCCTGGAACGACCAAAACATGACATGAGAACTTTTAATCCATGCCAAAGCGCTCCAGTGCGTCTGAAATATTCCACTTTTGTGTTTTCCCTTCAGGAGGAGCGCAGTCATGCAAAAAAATTAGACACTAAGTGGGGTAATACGGGCTGAACCTACGCCACACCCAATCCCTACATCAGAGCAACGCGTGTTTCTCTCCGGCCAGAAGGTGTTATCCCGGACCAAAACCGTATTCTTCGCGTTGAAAAAGACATTAGCTCAGAATTTAGGCGACTTTTCAGAATTGATATAATTCTGTCACCCTCTCCGAACCAAACAAGAAAGAACACCGCTGATGTTCGACCATAACGCTGGGAACTAGAACAGTCATCACAGATTATCACCACAACTTTTCTGCCTCACGTAGAGCTCACGTAAATCTGAAAACATTCGGCATTAGTCTTCAGCATATACGGATACTTCGAGGAAAATACGAAACAACAACGAAACGGAGTTCCATTTCTTTTACTTTTTATGTTCATTTGTGGGCAGGGTTAATCCTCTCAACAAGGAAACAGAAATTAACGTGAGAGACAAGATCTTTACATCCATATGTCAGCAGGTTGTTGCTTGAGTCACGACACGTGCACGAAAGGCCTGGCTCTCATACAGCTGCGGTTTGAATGCTACACGCCCTACAGCTGTATCAGTGTCGCACAGTTGGTCGTAAGAGGCAAACGGCGCCACCTTCGTTGAATTGAGCCAGGTGCGGATTACACGAACTGAACTTCTGATTTCACCCACGGGATGGCAGGAGTATCGACTGCGTGTTATCACCCAGCTGCCTGTGTGAATCATAGCTCATGGGTCGTTGAAATAGAAAAACGGCATAGCACTGCTGTAAGTTATTGGGCCAGAACGCCTTGTACCCACCCCTAACTTTTGCAACGTGCAATAATCTATGAGATCACTCTATACCTACATACGACTCGTAGTTATCGTGTTTATTCGAGAAAGCAGTTTGCCATTCGCAAACATTTTTAAAGAATGCACCCTTGACATAAAAACAATGATTGATTTGCTTCCAATTTGCAGCGAAATTGGTTCTCCAGCCAGTACTTGTACATATTTGCAAAGAAACATCCGAGCGGTGATACCATAGCGACACCATGTACATCGCAGCAGTTTTCCGCTTGGGCAGCGGAAGCGTGCCTCTGTCGTGCAGAATCGGAGCATCCGTTTCGAGAATGGGTCGTGATGGTTTCAATGGTGGCAAGACTTGGTGTTTGTAGACGCATTCGAATGTGATTTGGATTGTTTCATCAACAGGTGCGTTTGGGAAATGACTGTCTACGCCCAATGAAACAAGTAGGCCAGTGGGATTGTAAAACCTGATGATGCCAATTAACTCTCCGGTGGGTTGCAGGCTATACTCTGCCGGTGTGTAGAGTTCAATCATGCTATTATAAGTTTTTGCCAGCTGATAGGCAGCTGCTGGAATTTTAGATATAAGTGGTCCCGAGGCTGCTCATTTCATGGCTTTGCCTTTAGCTATATATATGTATATATATATATATATATATATATATATATATATATATGTATATGTATATATATATATGTATATATATATATATATATATATATATATATATATATATATATATACACATGCGTGTGTGATGGGTTGTAACGTGCCATTACGGGATGGGTAGTTATGATGCATCGTTTTGATTTGGTGCCAATTGTTTCGCTCGCGTTGCAACTTTTTCGTTATTGTGACGAGATTGACCGGCTTACACAACATCATGTCACGTGGAGGTTCACTGCCTAATATTAATTACAAATATTGTTGTCGTCAAGAGCTTCGTTGAATAGAAATGTCTCGTTTCAGTTGATCAGATAACATTGTCCCCTGGAAGACGTATGAGTCTTGTTAAGAAACGCATGGCTCCAGTGCTTCACTGTATTGCACCAGAGCAGGTCAGGTCACGAAAAGCTTGATAACAACACATTTACACGTTTAAATAGGCAAACGTTCTCACCCGGTGACTAGTACGCCGCAGCCTTGTATGCCGGGGCGGGATGGCTGTAAGTAGGCTTGTAGGCAGGCTTGTAAGCCGGAGTTGCAGCCTTGTAGGCAGGGGCGGGGTGGAACTCGGGGTACTGGGCCTCTCCCTCGTAGGTGACCTCAGCGTTGTAGCCGCCGTAGTGGTCAGCGACGTACTTGACGTGCTGAACACGGCCGTCGGGCAGAGCCACCGAGTAATATCCCTGGGTGTTGTGGCCATCGCTCTCCTCCTTCTTGGCGAAGTTGGTGCCGGTGTACTGGTCGTTGACGGCGTAGTCGTAGGCGAACGGCTTGGGCTCCTCCTTATACTGGGGCTCCGGATGGTAAGAGGCCGGCTTGTAGGAGGGGGCCGGGTGGTAGGGAGCCGGCGTGGGCTTGTACACCGGCGTCTCCAGAGCCGGAGCGGTGGCGGCGACAGCCAGCATGGCGGCAACGACGAAGATCTGAAATGCCACCACAGTTGTGTTATTAATAAGCCAGTCGTTTTGACATTTTTCCTGTTTTACAATGCAGTTTACAACCACGCTTCTGATACAACGCATCTCAGCATGGCTCCGACCACGGCATATCTTCCCGAGTGATCTCTGACAGTTGGAAAACACTACCTCAAACACCTCCTTCAAGCGACTACCTGCATGCTGTGTTTTTGTGGTCGAGTACGCAGTGAAACTGGTGCCTACTTCCACAGTGCTTTCGTTTTCATAGGCCGTCCGCGAGCCGCCGATGTAAGGCCAAGGACAGGAGCCCACTGAACGGGAGGCTCCCGCTACCACAGGCTAGGCTGATGAATTAGCATGGAGACTTGGCCGATCCCTGGGACACGCCCAACTTGTGGCAAGCGATTTTGTCGCCCTTTAAATTCGGTCTTTCCTTACCCATGACTTTAGATGTGGGTGTTCCATTGAAAACGTACAGGCACATATTCAGTTGATGATGAAGAGAATGTAATAGATGACGAGCGCGCGCTGTGCATGACCGCTGAGCGCGGTCATGCACTTCATCGGGTGCAGGGCACTGCAGTTTTAGATTAAAATTACAGGTTTGAGTTTTTGACACATTATCGTCAATAAAAGTATCATCGTCAATTTGCAAGATCGATCTAGAAGATTTTCTAATCACACTCTAAACAGGAGGGCTCACCTGTGATATATTCTGCAAACACCTGTGTTATTTGCGGAAAAGATGATGGCACGAGTGTGGGCTTGAAAGGATTACGTCTCGGAAACATTTTTTTCCTGGAACGACAAAAACATGACATGAGAACTTTTAATCCATGCCAAAGCGCTCCAGTGCGTCAGAAATATTCCACTTTTGTGCTTTCTCTTCAGGAAGAGCGCAGTCATGCAAAATTAATTAGGCACTAAGTGGGGTAATACGGGCTGAACCTACGCCACACCCTTTCCTCCATCAGAGCAACGCGTGTTTCTCTCCGGCCAGAAGGTGTTATCCCGGACCAAAACCGTATTCTTCGCGTTGAAAAAGACGTTAGCTCAGGATTGAGGCAACTTTTCAGAATTGACATAATTCTGTCACCCTCTCCGAACCAAACAAGAAAGAACACCGCTGATGTTCGACCATAACGCTGGGAACTAGAACAGTCATCACAGATTATCACCACAACTTTTCTGCCTCACGTAGAGCTCACGTAAATCTGAAAACATTCGGCATTAGTCTTCAGCATATACGGATACTTCTAGAAAAATACGAAACAACAACGAAACGGAGTTCCATTTCTTTTACTTTTTATGTTCATTTGTGGGCAGGGTTAATCCTCTCAACAAGGAAACAGAACTAAACGTGAGAGACAAGATCTTTACATCCATATGTCAGCAGGTTGTTGCTTGAGTCACGACACGTGCACGAGAGGCCTGGCTCTCATACAGCTGCGGTGTGAATGCTACACGCCCTACAGCTGTATCAGTTATGCACAGTTGGTCGCAAGAGGCAAACGGCGCCCCCTTCGTTGAATTGAGCCAGGTGCGGATTACACGAACTGAACATCTGATTTCACCCACAGGATGGCAGGAGTATCTACTGCGTGTTATCACCCAGCTGCCTGTGTGAATCATAGCTCATGGGTCGTTGAAATAGAAAAACGGCATAGCACTGCTGTAAGTTATTGGGGCAGAACGCATTGTACCCACCCCTAACTTTTGCAACGTGCAATAATCTATGAGATCACTCTATACCTACTTACATCTCGTAGCTATCGCGTTTATTCGAGAAAGCAGTTTGCCATTCGCCAACGTTTGTAGATAATGCACGCTTGACATAAAAAAATGATTGATTTGTTTCCAATTTGCAGCGAAATTGGTTCTCCAGCCAGTGCATGTACATATTTGCAAAGAAACATCCGAGCGGTGATACCATAGCGACACCATGTACATCGCAGCAGTTTTCCGCTTGGGCAGCGGAAGCGTGCCTCTGTCGTGCAGAATCGGAGCATCCGTTTCGAGAATGGGTCGTGACGGTTTCAATGGTGGCAAGACTTGGTGTTTGTAGACGCAGTCGAGTGTAATTTGGATTGTTTCATCAACAGGCGCGTTTGGGAAATGACTGTCTACGCCTGATGATGCAAGTAGACCGGTGGGATTGTAAAACCTGATTTTGCCAATTAATTGTCCTGTGGGTTGCAAGCTATACTCTGCTGGTGTGTAGTGTTCAATCATGCTATTTAAAGTTTTTGCCTGCTGATAGGTAGCTGTTGGGATTTTAGATATATGTGGTCCCAGGGTTGCCCATTTCATAGCTTTATCTTCAGCTTTATATATATATATATATATATATATATATATATATATATATATATATATACATATACATATGTGTGTGATGGGTTGTAACGTGCCATTACGGGATGGGTGGTCAAGTACGGATCCTTTGTCCATTGTAGTGATGTGGGGAAGCTCTCATCCGTCAGGCAGCCACAATTCAGATGTGTTTGACCAGCCGCGCACTGATAACCACCTTTCAGGTCACTTCAGTGTGGCGATTTTGCTGGCCGGCACCTACATTTCGCAGAGAAAATGGGCGTTGTGATGCATCGTTTTGATTTGGTACCAATTGTATAGCTAGTGTATAGTTTTGTATAATAATAAAAATTGTATAGCATTGTATGACATTTTCGTATTGTGACGAGATTGACCGGCTTGCACGCCATCATGTCACATGGAGGTTTACTGCCTAATATTAATTACAAATGTTGTTGTCGTCAAGAGCTTCGTTGAATGGAAATGTCCCGTTTCAGTTGGTCAGATAACATCGCCCCCTGGAAGAGGTATGAGTGTTTTTAAGAAACGCATGGCTTCAGTGCTTCACTGTATTGCACCAGAGCAGGTCAGGTCACGAAAAGCTTGATAACAACACATTAAGACATTTAAATAGGCAAACGTTCTCATCGGGTGACTAATACGCCGCAGCCTTGTATGCCGGGGCGGGATGGCTGTAAGTAGGCTTGTGGGCAGGCTTGTAAGCCGGAGTGGCAGCCTTGTAGGCAGGGGCGGGGTGGTACTCGGGGTACTGGGCCTCTCCCTCGTAGGTGACCTCAGCGTTGTAGCCGCCGTAGTGGTCAGCGACGTACTTGACGTGCTGAACACGGCCGTCGGGCAGAGCCACCGAGTAATATCCCTGGGTGTTGTGGCCATCGCTCTCCTCCTTCTTGGCGAAGTTGGTGCCGGTGTACTGGTCGTTGACGGCGTAGTCGTAGGCGAACGGCTTGGGCTCCTCCTTATACTGGGGCTCCGGATGGTAAGAGGCCGGCTTGTAGGAGGGGGCCGGCTTGTAGGAGGGGGCCGGGTGGTAGGGGGCCGGCGTGGGCTTGTACACCGGCGTCTCCGGAGCCGGGGCGGCGGCGGCGACAGCCAGCACGGCGGCAACGACGAAGATCTGAAATGCCACCACAGTTGTATTATTAACAAGCCAGTCGTTTTGACACTTTTCCTGTTTTACAATGCAGTTTACAACCACGCTTCTGATACAACGATCTCAGCATGGTTCCGACCACGGCATGTCTTCCAGAGTGATCTCTGACAGTTGAAAAACACTACCTCAAACACCTCCTTCAAGCGACTACCTGCATGCTGTGTTTTTGTGGTCGAGTGCGCAGTGAAACTGGTGCCTGCTTCCACAGTGCTTTCGTTTTTATAGGCCGGCCGCGAGCCGCCGATGTAAGGCCAAGGACAGGAGCCCACTGAACGGGGGGCTCCCGCTACCACAGGCTAAACTGATGAATTAGCATGGAGACTTGGCCGATCCCCGGGACACGCCCAACTTGTGGCAAGCGATTTTGGCGCCCTTTAAATTCGGTCTTTCCTTACCCATGACTTTAGATGTGGGTGCTCCATTGAAAACGTATAGGCACATATTCAGTTGATGATGAAGAGAATGTAATTGATGACGAGCACGCTGTTGTACATTCAGGTGCCATGTCATGCGTTAATGTGCCAAAGTTGATTTTTTTGGTTATATATATTTCTACACACACGTATACATAAATACATATATGTCTATATGTAGATAGATAGATAGATAGATATATATATACGTATATATATATATATATATATATATATATATATATATATATATATATATATATGTATATGTTGATATTTTGTGACACTTTCGGCATTCGCATGTTGCCTCTAGTTTTCCAGCAGTTTGGGTAACCGTTTTGTGAAGCATTCTTAGCGTTTAAGTACCATGTAGCTTTTTGCGTCCTACCAAAAATTGCCTTGAAAAACTTCTGATGTAAAACTTTCGATTTCAAACGGAATGTTTTTGCAGCAATTGAGCCATATAATATAAACACTTTATACATAAGCACTATAAACGGGCAAATGCATACAATTCTGGATGCCTATAGTTAGAAATTTAATGCACCAATTTTTAGCAAATACCTCACGTTAATTTCAGGGATTGTGACATACCAGCCTAAATGTAACAGAGCCTAAAAGGAAGAAAATCTGTACTGTGGGGTTCCGTAATGCCAGAACCAAAGGCAGCCCATTTCGCAAGTCTCAGCCCGTGGTCCATCTTTAGAATATCCACACAACACCACGAGAGCCATGCAACGTCAATACTCGCAGCACTAACTCCCTATGTCTCATGCGCACCATGGCCATGACGTTTAATATTTTGTCTGTTCTGCGCCAGATGATACACCAAACTCCTAAATCATTGAACTACTGCTGCCAGGTCATCGCCAGTTGGACAAATGTGTCATAGCTGACCGTTGCCGCCATCTTTTGGATGCTGTATAACCGACGTTGCGTATTGTATGTTCATTGCCATGTATTGGCACTTATCATCGGAACGTTTATATTTCTAGCGCAAGTTTCTCTTCTCTTGTTTACGTTTTAGCCTATCGGCTAGGTCGTAGCACTGTTTTTGCCCTACAACGCTTCCGGTACAGTATGCCAGCAATCTGCCCCATGTCGTGACGGACTCAACCTCAATAATGCAACTGTCGGGAACAGGGAATAACCGATACACTTCTGAGTGTAACAAATAGGTGCGTTTGCTCCTCACCAGCTGCTGAGAAGCATCACATGCAAATGCATACAGCGCTTCAAAGTACGGCGCCGGCATACGTGCCGCCTCGTCTTTCTTTAAGACTCCAAATGTATGAAGTCTTGG